AATCTCCTCCAAATTGAATCAGCACCCAAAGCTTCACACAGCCCTACAAATTACCCAAAAACCTATCTAGAAATGAGTATTTGAACTCCCTTCAACATTTATAAATTTGAAGTATAAGAGAGAGAATGGTTAATAGTGGTGATCTCACTCAGTCCCCTAGGCTAAGCACAGACAGTTTAAAAAGCCCAAGGCTGAATCAATTCAATCTTCACTGGCTGAATTGACTGCTAAGAATTGATTTCACTAAGCTGCATAGACTGAACTGATAAGTAAGTGAACAGACATTACTTTTGATTCTGGAAATGCAGCCACATGCCTGCAGTGACTCAGGCCAGAAGCTGCAGGGTGCTAAAGCACACCTCCTTGTTCAGCTGGAGCAAACAGCTTGGGCCAAAGCATCCTGGGATGCTGTGGGACTGAGTTAACTTGAATCTAGAAAGGATCTGAGACAGAAGTTCAATAACCTGATTTAACCTAAATCAGTTAAGTCTGATACTATATCCATCCAGGTTTATCTTAAACTGGTTTTGGCCATTTTGAAACTAGTGCACTGGACTTCTGTTGTGTTACAGATTTGAACCAGTTTCTGATCACATATACTGGTTTATGTGTAATTTCTGTCCCTAGTCCTAGTGGCGCACCTACAAACTTTATCATCACCAACAGCATGGATGAGTATTTCTGAAACAGCGCATTCAGCAGCCAAGTCTTAGCTTCTGCTTGAAGACTTGGAAAATTAGATGAGGAACTGATTTAAAAGTACAATATACTCCCAAACAGTGGGAAAAGGACTCTGGATTGTGAATATAAAATTAGTAGGAGGGCAGCAAAGTCATAGCTTATACATGATAAGATATCACATGTAATTTAATGGACTCTGAAGAGCCTGGAAAGATGTAGCTTTTATGTGTAGAAAGAATTTGGCCCATATGGCATGTTACAATCATGGTATAAAATTTGTAGTCACGATTCCAAAGTGTTAGACACTGTAAATTTGAACTTTAATTTTTATTTCCTTTGTAGAGCACAGTTAAGTCTCCTACTACTGTAAAATTTGAAAATGACTGTCCACAGCTTTCTGACAGGAAGAAAAAATTTCAGTCCCACCCCATCACTCCAAATTGTGCCACTAATTTATACAAAGATGGATATTCTGAAATGAATTAATGAAGTACAAAAGGAGAGAGATACATTTCTTATATCAGCTTCAAAGTGGCATGAATACTTACAGGCATACTGATATCATCCCAATATCCTCTTGAGATGTTGAGAGCCTAGGGTCCTAACTGTACAGTATGCATTGCTCTGTGAAAAGATGCATTAGACTCTTGGCATTCAGACTTATGTTATAATATTTTATAATTAGCATGTGTGACTTTTGCATATCAGCTCTGATCACCGTGACCTGGTCTACTTTCATACTGGTCAGAATCTGTATCTATAAATCCACTCTTTATTTAAGTCTTGTTATGCTCTGACTCCATTACAGTGCTGCTTGTATATTACTTACATGCACCAAAATTAAAATTAATAAGAAAATCTGCACCGTCTATGCAGAGGAACAGGAAGCTCTAGTGTCTGGACTACACCCCCTATTGTATCAAATTCCAAGTGGCCAGTGCATATATTTCCACTTCATCCTCTGAGGACTAAATAGCTGAGTATGGGGTGAAATCAAAGCTACTTTCCTTAGAGTTTCAGCATTTCCAGAGAACTGCAATCTGACCTTGGAGAATCCATTCAACATGTGTCACATTTTCCCCATAAATGAAACAGGAGTAACAGTCTAGTCCAGTGGTTCTCAATCTTTTTAGACTTGAGGAATCCCTCCTTAGACTCAAGGCATCCCTCAGAAAATGCCTGCTCTTTGTTTTCACAATTTTTTTTTTTTTTTTCTTTTTGGCAATAGAGCAGTTTTTCTGTTGCAAAGGATTCCAAAAGACCACAAAAGTTTAGAACATACATAACACTATGCAACCCTATTTGAAATCTCTGGCCCTGTCCCCACATGCAGGCATGTGCAGTTTGTGGAAGATTTTCTGGTAGGAAGAAAAAAGCTGCACAGGACATGCCGCAATAGCGTGCACCAAAACAAACAGAGGTTTGGTCTTCCAGGGAGACATTCTGGCTGCTGGTCAGAGTGTCTCTACTCTTCCATTTGTGCCCTGGCTGCTCCAGCATGCTGGGAGCCAGGAGGAGCCAGGCAAGGGCAGTTTGCCCAAAAACGGGACACAGTGGGCACGTCTACAGGAGACACTACTGCACAGCCATTACTGTGCATTTATTTAGTGCTTGTATTATCAAGTACTGCACATTTATTTAGTAACCGGAGTTACTGTGCAGTGGTGCCAGCAAGCGTCTTTTAGGTGACGCTACTGCTCAGTAGCCTAATACTACTGCACAGTAGCGTATTAGCACTGTCCATGCTGTGACTTGTTATTGCACAGTATTTTTCAGCTACTGTGAAATCAGCGTTTCATGTAGACATGCCCAGTGTTCCACAAGAAAGCGCACATACAGGGACGTGCGCTGCAGCACAAAGTAGCAGCCACAAATTTGTGCCCCTATTATGTGTGCTGCTGCAGGAGCACCCCCCCCTCCCCCGCGCACATCTGGACCAGGCCTCTGGGTTTATCTTGCAAATCATATTTGTATACCTAGCATGGAAGCCTGGAGCACCCTTGAAAGAATCACAAGGCACCCCGAGGGTAGCAGAGCACCCTAGTTGAGAATCATTGGTCTAGCCTATCCATCTATGGTCTCCCTCACCCTAGTATCTGGACCTCTACGTACTTACTTGACTGAGAGAGAAGTTGTAGAGTTTAACTAGCTCAGGATTGTGAAATGCTTTATAAATATAACTGATCTGTAACTTGCTGGTATTGAGTAATGCCAAACAATTCTTTCCTGTACTCTCAGAGATGGGTACGTGGCCATGCTGGGCGACTGATTCTGCCATATAAGGAGTATAAAATCCTTTTGGAATGCAAGGCGCCAGGTACATGTCAGCTTTGTTACTATTGGCAGCTGGGCAGACCACAGGCAGCTACATTCACTCTTTTGAGGTACCTGGATCTAGGGGGAAATGCCCGCTTCCTTTCCCCTGGGAAATCAGCAGCATCTTGGAGAGGCTGTGTTTGTTCAGGGCAGGGTGGGAAGGAACTCAATCTATATCCATTTTATAGAATCCGCACTACTTTGGCATCCAGTGAGAACTACTCTGTGCCCACTGCTCTCCTACGCTGTTGGAGTAATGGCAAAGGTACACGGACAGGTTGACAGAATCAAAAGCATGGGTGGCACCATCTACAATCCAAATGAATAAATTTGTTCTAAATATTTCCTTTCCAATGAGGCCATTGCCCTCTTTATGTGCAGAAAGAAGGGCTATCTGCATAGATTGCAGCAGCAAAGGAAGGGCCAAGCTAGGAAAAATGTTATCCCTGAAGGCATTTCAGTGTCTCCTGATTGTACGCAGAGGGCCCTGGTGAAATTCAACCCCAAGCTAAAGCAAAACTGGGCTTTTCTGTGATGCTCCATTTGCATCAGCTGCTCCTTCAGGCCACTCGCAGACCCAGCCAACCCACAAGCTTTTATTTTTAATATATGTTTTCATTCATCGGCAAACAACTGTATCCCTCAAGATCAAAACTAGGAGTTTAAGAGTGGTTTTAAAACTGCACTCTGCTAAAACACCAATTAGATTCCAAAAGGACACGATCAAGCTGACATCAGGAAACCAACACGCCCGCTTTGTTAAATACATATATTCTGCTCACATAACTTTGGTTGGCAGGGGTGGGGAAGCAGCAAAACGACAGATTCAGATGCCTCTAAGTAGCTCACCCCAGGAGCTGGAGAGTCCCAGTCCTTTGCAGCAAGCGCAGTCCCCAAAGAGGGGGGCTGGGAGCAGGTTCCCTCTCCTCTCCCTGGTGTATCTCAGGGGCTTGGCGCACAAGGGGGTGGGTGGCACTGAGTGCAAGGATGCATCTAGGCTCCAGGTACCCCAAAGCCGATGATCTTCACTCTCCTTGAAGGGATCTGTGGAAATGGATCAGAGAGCACCTTGATGACTGACCTCGAGGGTTTTACTTCGGGGCATTCCCATTCCCACTTCCAACTAAAGCCTGATCCTGCTTTCACCTGGCTGCCCTGATCAGCTCTGCCCTTCCTGGGACAGGCAAACACCAATGCAAGGGCTTGGTGAGTTGGAAAGCCCTGCAGTTTTGCCTCATCTCAGCAGCAGCAACAAAAAAACCTCAAGAAGCCTTGCCTGGAAAAGTGACCAGAGAGGGGGGGGGGGGGGGGGG